TTTTTATTCAAAAATGATGAAAAATGATCTTAAAATACATCTTCATTGCAAAAGCCGTTATTTCCACTCAAATAAATGTGAAATAATATGAGTAGTAACCTTCTTTTGACAAATAAGATGAGGCAGTGGGACCCTCACAGAAAGTTGTATCTGTACACTCTTCTTCCTCTCAAGATAATGCCAGTCCCCAACTGTCTAGATGGATTTTCTGCATCATTTCACATACTTACTTTTCCCAGAAACAGTCACCAAAAAGAAAAAAAAATACCCTCTGATGTTTATCTTCAAGTTTTTACCTGAAGCTAATTTTTACAGCCAATTTTGAAATTCCTAAAATCAAATGGAAATAATAATAAGACCATAAATGGAAACCATAATCTGATTAATTCAAGTATTTTGTAAGGGTCAATTTTAGGACATATTTTACACAACTATTTACTATCTAAAGATATTACTCCTAACAGTTAACCCAAATCCATATTATCTAAAAGTATCTACATTTACAAGTAAGTTTTTTTGGAGTTATACTAACACCCTTTTTATAAGAACTCTTCATTTTTATTTCAAGAAATTACATGCTGACTTAAGTTATCTGACACATAAATGTTGGTGGAATTTTAAGATACTATTCTTGACTTATTCCAAGATTTCCTCATCTTCCGTTCTCAAATTTTTATCCTAATAAAGGGATGCAGCAAATTGTATAAAACAACATCAGAAATGATCTACTGTATCTAGCTAAGAAGAGGAGCTGATTACCTATGAAGAAAGGCACACTTGCTTTATAAGTTCCAGCTATATTGCTCTCTGAGCCAGGCTGATTTGGTTATCTAAGTACTTAGCCAACTGGTGGAATGGGAAGCACCACATCACCAAAATAACTCACTAATAGAAAACCAAGATGTATCAATATAAAATACTATATGCTAGATCAGGAAGGATCTCAAACACAACCCACTCATTAAGCATTGTTTAATCTAATTAACTGCATTTAAAGGTTTGTTTCTCTTCAGGGCAAGTAACTTAACTCATAAACTATGTCATCTGCAGGGCCACCGAGGCATCAGAAATCTGGGACTGCACATTACAAAGCTACTGAATCACAATCCCTATTTTTTCCCCCATGATATACTTCTGATGTGCTTTTTAATGTGTTTAATATATGAGAAAACTCTCCACAAATTTATAAAGGCACCAAAATCTATTCAACAGACATTATTCAAGTGAACACTTAATAAATCCTGAAAAGGTTTTCCAAAATGCTCATCTGCTTGAAATGCAAAGCCTAGTCCTGAATAACTATGCTTTTCAGGGGAATGCTGGAAGCTGTCTTTGGAAGCATCCTTACAAACAATACGGTAAATATGCCAACTGGAACTAATTGATTAAATTCACTAGTTAACATTGCCTTCAAAATGTATAATCTCTTGAAACTGAATATTACTCATCCTTTTCTTAAGACTTGATTTTCTTCAGCCTGGCAAACATTGCCCCAAGATGTCAACTAAGAATATAAAAGTAGAAATGAGGGAGAAAAAAATATGTATGTATTTTACTTTAGGTTATCTGCCCTAGATTATTACTTTTTCTTTAATAGAAATAATCCATTGACAGTTTCTTTTGAGAAGCAAAGAAATAAGGACATCAAGGACTCCTTTAAATAATCTTCTAGGCAATTATATGGCTGTGGGCAATATTGATGAGGTTTTCCTTAAAACAAGGTACCAAGTCTGAGCTGTGAAATATGAAAAAGCACTCAACATCAGCCAATAAAGTATCTCCCACCTTCTTCCCAATATTATAGAGCTCAAATTTATTTCATATTGCAAGTTAAAAGCAGGCAGGAAACAAACATATTTAAAGCACCCCCTATGAAAGTTATTTATGATGAACTAACACCACATGGAAAAAGAGTTCTGTATAACAAAGCTATTTCTATGTCCCCAGGGGGTGACCCAGAAAAAAGAGTGCTTTGACCTGGTTATAACAGTTCTCTCTCTCTTGGTAACCTATCCTGGTCTTTAACAAATTATCACTCTCAAAGGTTTCCCTTCTATCAAATCTAAATCCTCACTGTTGAGAAGTTCAAGTTCATTTCCTTTTTTGAGGAGCCATTTTTTTAAAACAGTTGAAAAGAAAAAAAAATCATTGGTATTCAAGAGAACAATATGAAAACAGGTTTACTATAAGATTTCTGAAAAATAGTTCTGGTATGATAAGTTTAAAAACAGAAAGTTATATTTAAATAAGAGACTCTATCTCAATAGTAAGCCAATCTCCATCTAAAACTGAAACACAGAATTCACTATTCGGAGTCCACAGTAAAGAAATACATATTTAATACTAGGTTCAGGTATTAAAATGTCACGAAAATTGTATTTCTACTGTTCTTTTAGAACAGCTCACTTCTTCTGTTCTTTTAAAACAGTTCTTTAAGAACAGTAATCACCCATCTGAAAAACTTCAAAACAAATTGACATTTTATAAGTTCCAGGTTAGGTATATGGATCAGGGTCAATTCTTACTGTATATGGTTTTGTCTAAACCTCAGTGTAATTTCATCAATAACCTACAAGAGTCCCCAGTGACACAGAAGACCACAGGTGCTTCCATTAAAAGCCCAAAGAAAATTTTGCTAGACCAAGGTGGCACATACTTGTAGTCACTTGTAGTGACTCAAGAGGCTGAGGCAGGAGGATTTTAAGTTCAAAGTCAAACTTAGAAACTTATCAAGATTCTAGTGAGATCCTGTCTCAAAATAAAAGATTTTTTTTTTAAAGAGAGAGTGAGAGAGGAGAGAATTTTTAATATTTATTTTTTAGTTCTCGGCGGACACAACATCTTTGTTGGTATGTGGTGCTGAGAATCGAACCCGGGCCGCACGCACGCCAGGCGAGCGCGCTACTGCTTGAGCCACATCCCCAGCCCCTCAAAATAAAAGATTTAAATACAAAAAAAAAAAAAAAAAAGAAAAAGGAAAAAGGATTGGGGATGTAGTTCAGTGGTTAAACACCCCTGAGTTCAGTAGTTCAATTTCCAGTACCAAACAAAACCAAAAATAAACACTTTGTTTAAAACCAGCTTGCTTGGTAGCACATGCCTGTAATCCCAGCAATTTGTGGGGCTGAGGCAGGCGGATCACAAGTTTGAGGGCTGCCTGGGCAATGTAGTGAAGACTGAGGCTATAGCTCAGTAGTAGAGTGTCCCTGGGAATGATCCTGGATACCAAAACAAAAATGTTTAAAAACAAAACATAAAAAGCTCAAAAGAGAGCTGGGCATGTAGCTCATTATTGGTCTACCTTTAAATTACTGGTCTACCCAACTCTGCAGCCCAATAAGAAAGATTGTTCTTCTTTTTGACCCCTCCCTAACCCTTTCTCTGTGGACAGTAGAATTTTAGTCAAATTCATTAATCTGCTCTTTAGAGTACACAGGCTATGGAATGATAGAAATGCAGAGGGACAATGAAAATACATACCCTACACACGTTAGAGTACAGTTTTATATTATTGCTCTCTTAAACAAAGTGGAACTCTACATAGTAAAGACTGGTAATGATGTACAAAAACAACATGAGAGAACTATCATATCCAAGACTTTCAGAGAAATTATACCACATGAACTCAGTTTAAAAGGATACATCTATCCATGGATATGTAGCCACTTCTATACTCTTTTGTCAGAACAAACATTTACTACATAGATATTATATACCAAAGAGAAGATGCAACATTTAAGCCCTACTTGAAAATCTGCATATTCTTTAAAAAGGTAAGTATACCTCAGATTCTTAATATTAAAAACAAAACAAAACCTGTTAGTCTTTAAAGAAGGAGAAGGGCTTTAAAGCTAATTAGTACTATGAACAATTTACTACTAAAACCTACCACTCCAGGACATAAACAATCAGTTAAGTCTTTTCATGCAAAGGTATTCCACACTAAAAGAAGTACTTAATTTTATTGGTACAACTTCCTATGAAAATGAGTATGGATGTTTTACAAATTATCATTGGCTCCATTCTATAATGCCGTGTTTGGAAATAAAGCCTTGCATTTCAAATCAAATTTTCATAACCTCAGTAGCAGGAGCCTTAAAATCATTTTGTGAGGTTGATCGTGTGCCAGTGTGGGCATGGGAAGGGATTCAATAATCAACTACAAGACAGCTTTTATCAACACATCCCAGTCAATGCTGAGCCTGATGTGCTATTGGAGAGAGCAATTGAGTGTTTTCCCCACAGGCTGTAACTGATTATTGACTCCCCCCATTAGCATGTAGGGTGCATGAAGGTCCAAACAGAAGGCTGAGGGACTCCTGTCCCAAGGCCAGTGCTGAAAGACAGCCTATCACTTCGTGTAACTGCAGTCTATGTGTGACAAACCTGACCTACATTTCTCCCTTTCTTTCTCACAACAGCCTGCCACTGTTTTAAGAAGCTATTTTCAAAAAGCATAAAAGAAACAACTTTTAAAAACTGTAATTTGATGAAATTACACTGAGGTTTAGACAAAAGTATCATTTATAACAACCTAATAAGGAATAGTTTATCTTGGAGAGATAATCATGTAACCTAGGCTAAATTGGTCCCAAAGAGAGCAGAATGCTTTATGATATTATCCATTTTCTTTTACATTGTTATTTATACAGTATACAGTCCTAGAGCACTACAGTAAAAGTTTTAATCCATAGTATAATTAAACTTAATCAAAAGAAGTTTTAAACATAAAAAACATATTAATTAGGAATGTGTAATTATGTTAATAGATTAAATTTCATAGATTTATAAGATGCCACATCCTTGTGATTCAGTTAACTTCTCAATGGACACAAAATAATCACTACTAAGAACAGGGCATAATTAAAAACAATGATGGACTAGGGGAGTAAAGGTGGCAATAACTTGGTGCAAATGCTGGAAAATGCTCCCCAGGAGGGGCTGCATACTGTGCTTCAAAAGTTGCCCATGGGCTGTGGCTCCTCACCACAAGTACCTACCATGCCGCTGCAGGTCATACTCTTTTTTTGTCTCTTCATTCCCTAGAATTTTCCATGCCTGATCAACTTCGATGAACTTCTGTATACATTCCTCCACTGTTCCTGCTGGCACATCTGTACTTTGTTTATCTGGATGATACTGCCAATCAAAAATAAAGGGGGTAGTGAACAGAGAGAGAGTTGTGTGGGGTAGGCAAAAAAAAAAAAAAAAAAGTAAATCCGAACCTTAGTTAAGAGGGTAATAAGAAGTTGAAAACTAAGATGCAAGGCAATGAGACAACAGTGTTGGGCACAGGAGACAACTGCCAGGTTAATTAGACCATTGGAGTAGCTATAAATCCACCAGTGACATGATCTGTCACAACGTGCAAAGACAGCATTTTCTGGATAATTTGCTCATGGAATCATTGGTCTCATGGACAATTTACCTAGAGAGTATGACTAACACAAATAGAAATAGGTACGTGCAGACAAGCAGGACATGAAAGGAAGAACACAAACTATGCAGACTATGAAGCTTCCCTTATATAATATGCATGGCTGTAGTAATCATTACAAATGGAATACAAGTTTTTCTTCTGAAATTAAATTCTACAATCATAAAATAAAATGTATCTAATTATAAAAGTAAATTATCTTTCCTATTTTCCTCAAACCTCAAGATTTTAAAGTTACCAATTCAAAGTTATATGATTTGGTTATTCTGAGCCAGATTTGTAAGAAACAACTTTTAAAAATTCAAAACATTTGAATATAAATTAATCCATGAAAGAAATTTCTCATGTAAGCTTTCTAACTAAGAAATTTTCAACAATGTTTTTAATATAATAATTTTTTCATACTATTTGGTCAAAATCAGAAAGTTTTACATCAACTAAATTCTCAAATGCTAATAAAATGTGGTTTACTGGATACCTCACTTACACTATCCTTTCTTTTCTCTACTGTTGTCCCTTTTTTTATGCAACAGTTCTTCCAGAAGAATCAATATGTTATTTGGTTTTCAGCAGTCTCTCAGCAAACAAATGTTATTTAAATTTACAGACATTTCACTTAAAATAACCTAAGGATAGCATATATTCAGATATAGAATTTTTTTCACTTTCAAGTAAATAAGAAACCACTTATTCAGAAATTTCAACCAGTAATTACTCTAAAGGTTTTTTTCAATATATTACAGAACATATTTTAATTTCAAAAGTAAACTTAGAAACTTCCTTTGAATATAGACGTTTTTCTTTCTCTATTTTTTTTTCAAATTTTTAAAATGAAAAGCCAAATAGTCATATTCCCATTTCATGAAACATCAATGTGGTTGGTTCACATACTCAAAATTAATAGTAAAATCATATTAATTCTGGGGCTGGCATTGTGATTCAGTGGTAGAGCGCTCTCCTGGCACACTGTGGGGTCCTGGGTTCAATCTTCAGCACCACATTAAATAAATAAATAAATAAAGGTATTGTGTCCAACTACAACTAAAAAATAAAAAAATAAAAATATTAATTCTCTCACAGACTGCTTTACAGACAACAAAACGGCACCAAAGTTTTCAGTACTGTGTCATTTTTTATTGAAATTGCTTAACCCAGAGTAATTCAGTAAGCTGCATCAAGTACCACATAGCTAAGTGACTTCATTCTCAAACTCAAATTCAGAAAGTTTTCATTTCATATCATGGACTACTGTCTTTAATAGTGGAATCATTTTTATGGTGAACTTCACAGTGTTGATGATTCTAAGTAGCAGAATAAAATTATCATGATATCTGACCACACAAAAGAACTATAAACATACAAGATGGGAGAAAGACTGATTTTAGGGCTTCAACAAACTTCCTCTCTCCCTATGCCAAATCTGTCAGTTACTAACATTTTAGGTATTGAAACTAATTAATATAATGAATGGAGAAAAGAAAAGGAAACTAAGGCTTTATTGTTTCATCTTCATTTAATGGTGTTCATAAAAATTATTTATGTACCAAAGTTTTGGCAATCCCTATAGTTGGGATAGTCAAACAATATCCCTAAACCAAAATAGAGTTGGTTGCATTAAAGTTCTCTAGCTGACCCAATACTTTATAAGAAGATGTTATTTTGATTCAATGTTAATACATGGAACACACTCCAATATGCTACAATGGTACAGTTAAGATACATATTCATGTGGAAACTTTTAATCTCAATATATCACAAACATTAAGTAAGGCCTTGGAGAAATAAATCATTCTAAGATTCTAGCTATAAAATAGGAGTACAGATTTAAAAATTGGTAATTTCTAATAGAAAGTTAACTTGTTAGGCCTGGTCTTGCACCAACCTGACCAAGAAAGCCTTAAAAAACTAGGAATTCGTTCTTGTCTGCCCCAAAGTAAAAACCATTGCTAAATTTTATTATGAGTCATATCAATTCTATCATAGTCAAAATATGATCTCGTTCCTGAATTTGGAAGTTCATGACTATTAATAAAATAAGTAGTTCACCATCTGAGACTTCCAAGTCCATTTTGTTTTGTTACTAGAATGCAATATTATTCCATGACATGCATATAATGGATATATTCCAATAAAATGCCTATTATAGCATGAAAATAAATATGCTCTTTGGGAAACTAAAGTTTAAGTTTAATTTTGCTTTGACATCAAGTTCCAGAACAAAGTGAAGGTCTAAAAAACAATAATACAGTCTGTGGTAGGCTGATAATGGCCCCCAACGATATCAAGTCCAAAGCCCTGGTTCCTGTAAATGTTACTTCATTAGGAAAAAAAGGAATATGCAGATGTAATTAAATTAAAGATTTTGAAATGGAGAGATTATCCTGGATCATCCAGGAGGACCCTAAATTCAATCGAAGTGTTCTTGTACAAAAGAGTCAGGAGATTTAACAGAGAAGGTGATATGAAGATGGTGCTGGCCTTAAAAGATTGACCTAATGCAGCCACAAGCCAAGGAATGCCAGTGGTGACCAGAAGATAGAAAGACAAGAAATGGATTCTCCAGAGGGAGTACAGCCCTGCCAATACCTTAATGCTAGGCCAATTGTACTGATTTCATACTTTGGTCTACAGAACTGTAAAAGAATAAATTTATGTGGTTTTAAGTCACTGAGTTTAAAAATATGAAACGATTCTCTCTTCTCAATGTGAAAACAAGCCCTAATGCTAGGTTTCAAAACTTTCCAATCACAAAGTGTATATTTAATTTTCTTCTACTATTTCTAATTTGAGCCTTCCTATGAGAAGCAGGCTCCATCATTCATGATCACATCACCATAAAAGACCACTGTCATTTTCTTCTTATTTGTTGGGAGTTTATTCCTTGCCCTTCTCTACCATAATTCCCACTAGCCAAACAACCCACTCCTGAGAGCCCAAAGCTATCTCAATTTCATTCATTCATTTGTAAAATAAAAGACAGGTGTAATCTAAAGCATTCTGTATTCTGAAGAATTACTATCTAATTGAGGAACTTGGAATAAAACAAAATAAACACGGATTTCCTTATACTATCAGAACTCCAAATGAATCTTACAAATACCAGGGAGTTCCAAGGATAACATTCATTAAGCAAAGAAAATACTGATATCCCTTAATTAATAAAATAGGCATGTTCTAAAATTAATGTTGCAAAATTTACTTATTTTAACTGACACTTATTTTTGTTTAGTACTAAATTGAAATGTATTTAGGTGGAGTTGGAAGAACTAAGTCTCCTGAAAGCAATGACCTCAAAATTAAGAAATTAGCAAATATTGCAAGAAAGATAAAATAAAATTTTATACAATTACCATTAACAAAAGCATAAAACAATAAGAAGGGGGGGAAAACCAGTCACTTCAGGATAAACCAATTGGGAAATGCGTAAAACTTCTATATTAAAAACTTCAAGACATTATTAAGGGAAATCAAAAAGACCTCAACAAATGAAAAAACTATGAATGGAAAGATTTGCAACCATTTTCCCTTATTGATACATGCAATCAATATCAGAATTCTAGCAAGCTATTTAAAGAAACAAATGACTGTAATATTTATATTTCAAGATGTATTATAGTATCATAGAAATCCAATATGTAGTACATACAAATAAAGCAGAGGAACAGACTAAAAAGTCTACAAGTAGACCATATGTATATAGTTAACTAAATATCAACAAAGATGACATAGCAATTCAATGAGAGAAGAAAAAGTATTTGTATTAGTCATCGTTCCATGGATATAACAAATTTCTAAGATAAATCAACCTATTAGGAGGAAAAGTTTATTTTTGCTTACAGCTTTGGAGGTTTCAGTCCATGATCAGGTAGCCCTATTGCTTCAGGCCTGTGGGAGCGCAGTAATATATCATGGCAGGAATGCATGGCAGAGAAGGCCTGTTTACTTCATGACAGTCATAGAAAGAAGAGAGAAAGAAGAGGGACTAGGGTCCCAATATCCCTACTCAAGGGCATGTCCCAATGACTTAACTAATGCTGGAAGAATGAAATAAAGGAAAACTAACCCAGGGAGTAGTTTAAAACATGAGTAAGCAGAGCTATTAAGTAGCTGGACTCCTCATCTTTTTATTATAATCAGCAAGCAATCCTACATGCCTGCAAGCAGGAACTTTAACTATAAAACTACAAGTTGCTGGGCTGGGGTGGTGGCTCAGTGGTACAGCACTTATCTCACATACACGGGGGCACCGGGTTCAATCATCAGCACTGTATAAATAAATAAAACAAAGGTATTATGTCCATCAACAATTAAAAATTTTAAAAAATGTTTTAAAAAATACAACTTGTTTTTCTCCTGTTAATGATTAACTTTCCTTCTGGATATCATACCCGTTTTCTTGGAAGGTTCTGTTTGTTGATAATTGTTGGCTGTGTGTAGCACATGTTGTTTAGGACTTTCCTTCACCCTATTTCCTCACAAGATCTATCTTTAGAAAAATGTACATAAGTACGATACAAAATGAAGTCACTCATGGCAATCAATTTGCTTTAATGTGAACTCCACAAACTTATTTCCATTAGGCCCCACATCCTAAAGTTTCTACCTTTACCCAAATAGCATCATAGGCTGGGGACCAAACATTTAACACATGGGCCTCTAGGGGACACTCACAATTCAAAGAATTTGTACAACAAATGGTTTT